GTGGTTGTAATGGGACATCTGCGTCAAGTGACGAGTGGAGGGCAGGTGGAGAGTGAGAGTGAGAGTGGAGAGTGAGAGTGGAGAGTGAGAGTGAGAGTGAGAGTGAGAGTGAGAGGTGGGAGAGTGAGAGTGGGAGGAGGGAGAGAGAGAGAGGAACGAGGGGAGGGAGTGTTGGGTAGATGCGTTGTGACAGCGAGCAGAGACTCGCAAGAAGTGGGAGTGATTGAGTGAGTGAGTTGAGGGATTGAAGGAGGTGAGTGAGTATGAGAGGAGAGGAGAGAGGAGTGAGAGCAAAGGACCAATTAGCAGGGAGAAGAGGAGAGATACGTTCATCGCTTGGTAGAGTCAGGGAAGGGACACACAAGGAGACTAGGAGATGAGGCTTAAACAGAAGAGAGAGAGAGAGAGAGAGAGAGAGAGTGAGGAGAGGAGAGGGAGAAGAGAGAAAGAAGAGAGGAGGAGGAGAGAGAGAGGAGAAAAGAGAGGAGAAAGAGGGGGGGAGGAGGGAGAAGGGAAGAGGGAAGAAAGGAGAGAGAAGGAAGAGAGGAGAGAAAAAGGGAGGGAAGAGGAGGAGAGGGAGAGGAGAAGAAGAAGAGGGTAAGAAGGGAGAGAGAGGAGGAGGGGGAAAAGAGAGGAGAGGAAGAGAGAGGGGAGAGAAGAGGAGGAGGAGGGAGAAAGGAGGAGAGGAGGAGGAGAGAAAGAGGAGGAGGAGGAAGAGGAAAGAGAGAAGGAGAGAGGAGAGAAGAGGAAGGAGAGAGGAGAGAGAGGAGAGAGAGAGAGAGAGAGAAGAAGAGAGAGGAGGAAGAGAGAGGAGGAGAGAGAAGGAAGGAGAAGAGTGAGAGAGAGGAAAAAAGGAAAGAAGGAAGGAGAAGAGGAGAAAGAATAAGAGAAGAGAGAAAGAGGGAGAGGGGAGAAAGAAGAAAGGTAATGGGAAGAGGACGAGGAAGGTAGGTTGAGCTGAGGAGGGGAAGACACAGGCAGATATAGAAGAAGGAGCAGAAAGACTCTCAAGAGTAAGAAAAGAGAGGAAAGAGAGAGAGCCGGAACGGAAGTCGATAACCAAGGAGTATTAGAGGATTCACAGGTACGAATGAGGAGTGTTAACCCACAGGTTACTCAGAAGAGTAAATGTCATAACAGAACAGGGAGGGCGAGTCCGAACCACCGACGCGATCGATGGCGCAGACACGAAGCTATGAAACTAATAACAGATTTGCAGCGGGTGGGGTGCGAGTAGCGGTTGGGTGTGGCCAGTCGTTCAGGTGAGGGAGTGGGCTATGGTGCGCGTCGGTGCGGCCTTCAGTTCGGCAGGTTTTTTCAGTGGGGGTGACCGAGCGGGAAGGTGGAAGATGTTTTGGCCGCCGTTCAGTGATTGACGGTCAAGAGTGGGGGGCGGTAGATGGGGGGAGTGGGGTATGGTTTTCATTGGTGGTTGATTTGCTTTTTGGTTTTGAGGGAAAGTAGGAGGTTGGGTGAGTGTTTGCTTATATGGTGTTTTTTGACTGGTGCGGTCGAAGCGTTTTCCGTCTTCTATGGTTGGTGCAGCGGGGGGTACGGCGAGAACTGCTGTTGTCACCCGCTTCTTGTCTTCTCAGTATCTCACGTGGGTCGGATTCTCAGTAACTCTTCTATAAATTATCGTTTTATCAAGGCCGAAGCGGAGTTTCGCGGCAGGATCTGACTTTGGAAATTGGTTTTTGCTGATCGGATGCGGCTGAGCAGGACTGTTATGTGTTCTGGTTGATTATTGATGGAGAGACGGGCATTTGTCGAGCAGGCGGAGGTTTTATTGTCTAAGGATAAACGAACTTGTTTTACACTTTTTGTCCATGAATGATCTTCTTGAAGCATAGATATAGCTTAGATACATGACGAATCCAAATCGGTGTACTGGAGTTTGTCTTGAAATTTAATCTTATAGCACTATGGGAATGGTCGTCTTGGAACCACTGGAATAGAAATGTGATTGAAGTGGTTTGAGTCCGCGCCAATGAATACATCAAAGCATGTGCGTTGCGGTGCAGCCCAGGTAGACAAGCCAGCTCCTCCCGTGGGGTCTCCATGGGTGGGTATTTGGCAGTGATGAAGGTCTGGCGCCCCACTCTACAATTCTATCTTCCTCTCTTGTTTATCTTATAATATATCATCTCTAACTTTTGGCACGGTCTTTCACTCTTCTATTGTCTCTCTCTCTCTCTCTCTCCTCTCTCTCTCTCTCTCTCTCTCTCCTCTCTCTCTCTATATATATATATATATATATATATATATATATATATATATATATAATATATATATATATATATCTATATATATATATATACATATTAATTTAAAGGAACCTCAACTTTCATTTCAAGTGGATAAATTCAAAAGATCTAAACAAACGCCAAACAATTTAAAATACAAAAAAAAAACTCATTTTGTTTCCAGATTGAACAATACACATTCAAATTCAAATTCAAGTTATTGTTGTTCACAACTCAGTGTTTCGCATCCAAAAAACAAGTTTCTCCAGCAAAAGTAATTTCTCAACGTAAAAATACATCCCAGTAAGAACAAGCAGTAAGGCAAGAACAGATCACATGGACCAGCAAGGGAACTGGAAAACCATCCAAGCATATCGAGTCAGTACGGCTTATTACGTGGATCGCTAACATCTGATACTAACCTTACACACCCTCCATTACCTCACACCGACCTGGTAGCTCTATGCATTATCTCACCTACGACCTGTACTCTAAGCTGAACACGCGACATATGACCTATCATCTTGTACCAGATCTTGCAGAGCACGCGGTGATCTTGTAAGAAATCACATCTGGTCCGTTATCAACACTCGGCCTTTACGACACAAGCACGCGTCCTGAATCGTCCTGCAATCCCTTGGCCATGATCTGCAACTTGCCAATAATAACGACCTATGACTCTACCCATGGGTCGGCAATTAACTTTTGTTGAGTCACTCTCCAATCAGACTCGGTGTGCCAAAGGCCATGTGGTAAATAGGGGGCTAATCTATCTGTATTTGGTAATAAGAACATATCTCGGATTAATACTAAAAACGCATTTCTTTAGTAAAATCAGAAGTGGTGTATCTACTATTGTAAAAAAATAAAATATATAATATATATAGGCCTATATGTGTATAATATATATACATCTGGTAATTCTAAGTAAGACAGTCGCGCCTATTTGTTGTTTTTCTCCTACCCCCTTCAATCTTGGGGGACCCGTGGGTTGGAGGGGGGGGAACACACACACAAGAGAAATAGTGGATTCAAAAGTGAAATTTTTGAAAAAATGCAAAATCCGAACGAAACTCGGGCGCCGCTGCAAGATGAGCCGGTGTCAGTGTTACCGAAATCTCGACGAAATTTCGGCTTAACCTAACCCGGACCCCCTTCCCTGGGGCATTTCCCTATTTCCCTACCGGGGGCAAGCCCACAGACCCCCTTCCCTGGGGTAATTCCTTACCCCTTTCCTGGAGGTATTTCGCCATACAAACGAAGCATACCTTCCTAACCCCCTACCGAAGGAAGCCCCTGGATCCCCTTCCCAAAGGATATTTCCCTACCGGGAGCAAGCCCCCGGACCCCCTTTCCTATGGGTATCTCTATCTATCTATCAGTCTATCTATATTTATGTATGTATGTATGTATGTATGTATGTATGTATGTACACACACACACACACACACACACACACACACACACACACACACACACACACACACACACACACATACATACATACATGCATACATGCATATACACACACACATACATACATACATACACATACACACATTCACACACACACACACACACACACACACACACACACACACACACACACACACACACACACACACACACACACACACACACACACACACACACACACACACACACACACACACACACACACACACACACACACACACAATGTAATATCCATAACTAATAGTAGCCTTATACGAAATTATTCTGAATGCAAGGAAGTATTCATTTTGTATAATATGTATACAGAAACGTATCTGTGCGTGTAAATATAAGCACAGAATAGGTTAGCAAATTTTTCAGATGGTATATCAATTTGATTATCTACGGACGTATGTACGTACTTGTACATGTAGATGCACATGTACGTGCGTGTGCGTGTCGTACACGTCTATATGTGTAAGTGTGCGTGCGTGCTGTGTGTGTGCATGTGTGGTGCGTGTGGCCGTGTGTATATGTATGCGGTATGCATGTGTGTGTATGTATGTATGTATGTATGTATGTGTATGTATGTATGTATGTGTATGTATGTGTATGTGTATGTGTGTGTGTGTATATGTGTGTGTGTGTGTGTATGTGTGTGTGTGTGTATATGTGTGTGTGTGTGTGTGTGTGTGTGTGTGTGTGTGTGTGTGTGTGTGTGTGTGTGTGTGTGTGTGTGTGTGTGTGTGTGTGTGTGTGTGTGTGTGTGTGTGTGTGTGTGTGTGTGTGTGTGTGTGTGTGTGTGTGTGTGTGTGTGTGTGTGTGTGTGTGTGTGTGTGTGTGTGTGTGTGCGCGCGCGCGCGCGGGCGCACGCGTATTGGAGAAAATGTAATTATACCGGATTATTAATATGTAAGGTTGATGCATATTTAGGTATATGAAACATGGGATAACCAGCCTAAATCCTTCAATAATATTCCCAAATTATATGTACGAAGTAACTTTAATGTAACTATAACGACTGAAGACGGAACTGGCAGTTTTTTCATTAGTGTAAAAAAACATGCAACAAAAAGCAGGTATCGGTATAACCGGCGACATTATGACAATATTTGTAATGATAGCAATACTGATGGCCACATACCTATTACATCATTGCAATGTCACGTATTTTATACAACTATTTATTTTGTTATTTGTTCACGCTTCAATATCGTTATCAACAATTTAAGGTTCATAATGTCTAAAAGGTCAAGCATATATTTAGTAGCATTAAATCAACCAAAATTAGGAACTTACCTGATTCAGTATTCCCTTCAGTTTTATTTTCCTATCGATAAAGTATCCAAAACTTCAGCTCACTGCAATTCACTATTTTAATGTTAAATAAATAAAAATAACAGTTCAGAGTACAGCTAAATCACCAAAACACAAATCGAATCAAATCAGGAACAATCACATACAACACTGGGTTATCATTTTCATCCAACCACAAGTTAATTCTGCATTAAAATAGGGAAATTAAGTCACGCCACCGTCCTCCAGTAACCTTCCGCAACCTTCTCTCTCCCACCACGAAAGGTAAACTAACTTTCCTCGCGTGAACACGTTGAACTTGACAGACGGTGCCGGCAAGTCCATAATCACTCATACTGTTGTTATGGTTGTTTTCCAGTAAATCTATACAATATTAGTATTTTATGGTTAGCTATAATAGATTTCAAACGGATATATACGTTATGAATATGTGCGAATTTTGTTTTGATGCGCTTGACGAAATTTATGAATCGTACGTCCGCCAGCGCAGCCTACTCCAGAAACCGATGGCAGTAACATGTTTCCCGGTGAAGGTTGAGTTAACTTTTTCTCTTAAATTTGAGATGTAGTTTTCATCATGGTATAAGGTGGTTATTGAACGATATGCAGCTTTAAGCTTTTAGATAAATGAAGTAGATCTGCTTGTTCGCTTTCAACTGTTACGAGACTTCTCTCGAAACAGGAACGTTTACAATATTAATGATAATAATAATGGGAATACAAATAATCGTAACGGGAATGAACACACCTCCATTTTATAGCAGAAACGGCATATGAATTCACAGTTAATTTGCCAACAAATTAAATAAAAAACATTTTGCCTATAACTTTTTCCTGTCTAATATATTGGATTACTCATTGTTTTTTATTATTGCGGTAGGAACAGTAAATCATTTGACCAATTCTGATATTACCATTAATGGTGCCAATGATATCAAGAACGTAATGGTAATATTAATGACATTTTTATTATTGTGATAAATTTTGTTATTGCTGAGTGCATCGTACGACATAAATGATAATTACAATTTTGATAATCTTATTAATATTAATGTGACAATGTATGGATATTATAATGCTCAAAGCGAGGTGCGAAATGAGCTCATCAGTTACAATAACAATTTTGATTTAGAAATAAATTAAGGTAATGACCAATGTTCATTTACATTTCGAAGCATTTCTAGTTTTATACAGGCACGAGTCTCTAGAACCCTTTTAGCACACTTAGGTTCGCGTAATCAATTCAGCAGGTTGGACACTTCTCGGCCCCTTCATAATCCTCGTCGGGAAGAGATTTTTTTATGGCGGGACCAAGAGGAATTTTTACAGCATAACAACAGACCTATCTCAGCCTAGGAATGACCCACTGCTCTTTTCATCATGTCTGTATATTAGAAGCACATTTATGAAACACATGCATACATACATATGTGTACGTTGTGGCGTTTATAGCTGTTTATACGTATTTGCTCTTTATTCGTTGTATAAACGCTTTGGTTCTTCTAATCGCCATATCATACACAAATACTCATCGCCCCATGTAATCAATTTCCAAAGTTCATTTCTGATTTAATAATTACCTGTGTCACTGCCTTGCCATTCGTTATTTGTTCTACCTGCTGTTGATATTGATTTTTCTACCTGCTGTTGATATTGTTTTTTTTTTCTACTTGATGTTGATTTTTTTTTCTACCTGCTGTTCATATTGATTACTTTCTTTCATGAGATAATGCATTACACTTTTGTTGTGATTACCATATGTGGAACGTCAAGTCATTTATTTTATTACATATCTACGGGTATTAGGTGAATGAGGGTAATATAATCGGTTATCAAGGGTGGTTATGAACTATGAATGATAGATTAAGATTTCCTTTCGCAGATTACAATTCATGAATGATAATTGATGCAGTTTCTATTCTATTTCGTGCACAGGGACCAACACAATACTGAGTGGATTCGGCTGTACATATATATGGATAGTAATGGTAGATTATACTTTTTCTTCGCATCAAAGATAAACAGTGTGAATTTTGGTAAATGACTAATGGCAAGGCTAAGTATGAGAGAAACTTTGAGACTTTCCCTCTTTGTCAACGCGTATGGCAATGGACGCAATTAGATAAAGAAAGGGTGGAGTAATATAACATTAAGCAAATATGGGATAGAGTGATATAACATTATAAATAAAACATGGAGTGATATAAAACATTGCACGCATAAGTGTTTACAAAATCCAAGTACTTGCTCGACTTCAATAATTAGTCATTAAACTAAACGAAAAAAAAATCAACTGTCAAACCAGCAGTTGTTTATAAAATCCCATAGTTCCCGTTTTAAAGACAGTAATGATTTCCATAATTGGAATGAGATATTAAAAGAACTAATAAATGCGCTCTACCTTTTTTTGTACACATGAGGCGAAGAAGCACGAATATTAGGCGATAAGCTGGCCCAGGATCAGCTGGTCATTCATACAGTTCGAGGAGACGGGATATAAGGTAACGGTTGTTATTTCTTGAAACTGCAGTTTTGCGAGTGAGAGAAAATGTTTGGTTTTACTTCGGAAATACTGTGTTTTGTGTAGACTGAATGGCCTGTAGTGTAGAGAAATAAATATATTCTCGTATTATTTCGGAGATTACTTATATATGGGCTCGTGTGCGTTGACTGACGAGAGAAGAGAATCCATGTATTTACATATGACCATAATTTATAAGGTATATTCCACAATACGTTTTATAAATACATCGATGCAAGTGTGCCTGGTGATAAATTATGAAATGACAGAAACAAGATAACGGAAGACATGAACTTCACATATTGCCTTTACTTGCTAACCATGGCCAAAAGACCGCATTAAAAAGACCCCGGATGTCGCATTCATTACCTTCATCAGAGACAGTTGAACGTTAATGATAAGACGCGGCGCTCTAGGAAGTTCTTATTAACGCAGTTTGGGAAGTTCGCGAGTGAGAGAGTAAGGGCGAGGGTGAGAGGCGAGGTCGTGAAGCCCGCGGCACCGGGCTATAAAGTTAGTTAGTTCGACGTTTCCTGGAGTAGATACGTTTTAACCCCGCACTCTCTCGCAATATACAAATTGCACAATTATATTAAGTATGTAACTTGGTAAATACTGATGAATACCTATAAGCAATATATATGAAGAAATGGAGACTTTTATATAGAATGAACAATATATAATACAGATAAAAAAAACGATCAGACACAAAAAAATTGGATTCTAACAAATAAACAGTTAGATGATTGGATATCCTAATCTGGCCTCCCTGCACACTTACTAGTCGAACTTCTAGCCACAAGTCTGACTAGTGCCCGCTATTTGGTGCGGGTGGAGAGTGATCTTGGGGACTTGTCATTCTGGTCTTGTCAACTCTAAGCCACACTCTCAGGTTCTTTGCTTTTATATGCCTAATAGTGTATTGAGTGGAATGTTTGAATTGTTTTCGGTTTTGATTATAGAAGGCTTGTTGTTTGATTGTTTTCTACTTGATGTTGATTTAGTATTTCCAACTTATTTTGAAATCTCTGATGTGCAGTTATTCTAAAGTTCAGAATTTAATTTAGATCAATATTTATCTGTTTAGCCTCTAGCCATTCACATTGTAATAATTTGCACTTCAAGAAATATTCCTTAACCATATCCCAATATAGTCCGGCAAAAAATTACATTCAAAACCTCGTTTACACAAAGGGCTTTCAGAAAAATCGTAAGACAAATAAAAAGTTCAGATTAGATATGGCTCTTAGGCCTAATTTTGGATTCCCCTTTTCCTTTCCTTTCTTTCTCTCCTTTTTCTCAGCAAGGAACGAAAGAGATAAGGATTTCTTCTCTTTTCCGAGCTCAAGCTGGTAGGGTCGTTGGGCCTTCCTCATGAATATGGAGCTGCTCTTCACCCGAAGGATTTTCCCTGTCCGCATCCTACTCGAAGTGTTTCTTTCATCCATTATCTCTCCGATCTATTTTCCCTCTAAGCTTACGATATAAATAGCTAATCACATGAGTAGAATAGATGTCGATGATGATTCACTAACTACGAATCGTGTTAACTACGCCGTTTATTAATACCAATCCAGTTACAGTAAATCAAAAGTTCAAAATTACTTCTTTTGATTATTATTTATTATTATTTATTATTTATTATTATTATTATTATTATTATTATTATTATTATTATTATTATTATTATTATTATTATTATTATTATTTATTATTATTATTATTATGATTATCTATTATTATTATTATTATTATTATTATGATTATTTATTATTATTATTATTATTATTATTATTATTATTTATTTATTATTATTTGATTATCTTTATTATTTCAAATCCAGTTACAGTAAATCACACAAGTTCAGAATTTCTAGAATCACGCGCTTCTGTACTTGGTAACCCCTCGGCGTAGTATTAAGGGTCAGTTCTATTAAGGCGTCGTTATATTCAATCATACCAAGGGCGTGTGTCTACATACACCCTGAACAAAGAAGGTTGTAGTTCCTTTGTTCATGTCCCTGTTATATTCGATGGGAATAATAGACTCTTGTTGGACTTACTCGGGATGCTTTCATCTGCAGTATTATTTATATATAATTGGTATCTGTTATTAGTAATATGGGGAATATATTACCATTTTATTGATTATATAATTGTGAGTTTATGCTAATGATGATTGTAATTGTGTGGTTGAGGATGATGGTGATGATAATATAATACGAATCGTAATGATGAGGGAGATGTTAAGGATGATAAAATAACTGTGATACGCATAATAATGAGAATAATAACGGTGATAAAAATACAGTAGATAAACGTTAATTATTATAATTAACACAGAATGATAGCTATGGCAGACAGCAACAATGATGAACATTCAATAACGATAATATAGCAGCGAAATTACAGGTGTAATTAATCACTCTTTATTTTTTTCTTGTTCCTATAATTGACAAGGACAGTGGTAATAATGTATGTAGCCAACAGATGTATAGTATAGATGTTGCCTGTATTAAGAGTTACCCATATACTTATTGCTGATTTCCAATAGTCGTTTTCATTACGACTATTATTAACACGAAGAATTTTGTGATGGTAATCTTTGCTATCTTTATGAAAATATCCGTCACTTTGACCATCAACGCTGTTACCATCGACAACATGATGTGATCTTGTATTTACAATTGTTTTTATTAACTTAAAATCACACGAATGAAAATAGTACAT